TGTACTTCTGAAACTGTTTTATATGTATTGTATGAAGAAGCAAATGAAGAAATGTGTGGATGTTGGGAACCAGAGTTCTCACAGTGGGAGGAAGGAGAGATCTGTATAGAATGAGGGTGAACACAGAGGAATGAATCCTGAGGTGATATGAATCAGTATGACTTTGTGATTTAAAACAGATAAATTATATTCCTTTTCCTTGAAAAGTCTAGAGGCGGTAACACCCCATCGATCACAGCTAAGATGTATTTCTTAGTGCCAAAATACCACTCCCCACTGAAAGCAACCAGAAATCCTTAGATAAGTGGTTGACTTCAGGTCTGGGGCAGAGATATTACAAGGGTGGTCTAGAATATTTTGTTATGCCAGAAGCAAGGAAGACTAATGAGAACATGTCAAAAGAACCTAGGAGCCAATCTGAAGGGACTCCCACTAGCCACAGATGAGATAACGTGAGCACCAAAGAGAATTATAAGTAGTGCTGGACTTTAATACAGAGTCAAAAAAAAAAAATGAGGAGGGGGATCTCTGAGTCAGTAGGGATACTAAAAATGGGGAGGGAGATGGGGAGAGAAAACCCTTCTATAACGAAGAATGTTAATTAATACATGTAGAGGGAAGGACAGATTTAAAATTCACTCTTTTGGAAATACCAATGTAGTAACTGATTCAGGCGAGGATTGTCAGGGAGGCTAAGACCGCTGGGTGAAAAGTGTGTGGGGAACTGGGTAGTCAACAGACCTCACAGGGCCACTACACAGATTGGCTGATTTACAAAGGGACAAGGACCACACTTAGAGTAGAGGAACCTATGTATGTGAGCAAATGCAGCATGTCAGGGGCTTTCTGACATTATGTAAGTCTTGATATGATACAGTGAAAAGTATGCATCACCAACTCATGGGGCATTTTTGCCAAAAATGTCTCATTTTCTGACTTTGTCACATAAAATCATGCTTAGCATTATTGGAAATGTGAATATGGATTATTTGTTTACTTGATTATTTTTAAATTAATGCTAAATTTCTAAGATGTCCTATAGTGTTGTGGCTATGTAGGAGAATGTCCTTACCCTTAGGTAATGTATGCTCTCAAAGAGTTGAGAGATCAGATGTTGGGACTTCTGCAATTTACTTTTCTTTATTTTTTAATTTTTATTATTACTTAAATGTACTTATTTTTGAGAGTTCATGAGCAGGGGAGGTACAGAGAGAGAGAGAGAGAGGACAGAGGATCCAAAGCGGGCTCTGTACTGACAGCAGTGAGCCCGATGAGGGGTTTGAACCTACGAACCATGAGATCATGACCTAAGCTGAAGTCGGACGCTCAACCAGCTGAGCCACCCAGACGCCCCTGCAATTTACTTTTAAATACTTAAAAATATTATGTATTTTTATGTGTGATATCTACATGTCAAACATACCATACATACATATGAATAAGAAAATGTAGCACAGTGTTAACAAATACTAGATCTAGGCAAAGGGTTCACAGGTCTTCTTTGTCCTACTCTTAATTCTTCTATAGCCTTGAAACACTGCAAAATAAAATCTCAGGTATAAGTCACCACGCACAATACACCTATTCGTGCCTAGCACAGGGTAGGTACTCAATAAATGGTAACCAAAGTGAGGCCATCATCAAACCGATTTTATCTTTAAAGGCCTCATATATTCCATTTCATAATTGCAACTACGGTCTGGGGAAAGGCAGAGAAGCAAGCATTAAACAAGTGAGCCACGGTTTTATCTGAGTCATCTGTGGAAACAGGGAAAGTAAAGAACCCATTTGGTCTCCTACCTACTTCCTAACTGATGCAACAGGGCTCGGCAGCCACGGCTTCTTTCACAGCCGCGGATCACTTCATAGGCCCTCAAAGGCACTGGGGGCCTGAAATTACAAATTCTGCAAATTCCCCAGAAGACAATTTTGAAGCACAGACAAAAGCAGCACGAATCCAGTCAGCTCAATCCGAGAGACTGCTCTTTGCCTCTGTGAGAGGGGTTTCACTTAATCAACCAGAGCCATGATCTATCCGGTTTGTCCTTGAGGTGAAGGAGCTCCCAGCAACGGAAAGGGTGCTTCTTTCCTCCTGAGGAGGAAGGGAACCTGATTCTGGCACATAGAGGGGCCTACTATCTTCTGAGGTCTTCCTTCAGCAGAGTGGTTCCTGAGGTGGGGCCTCAGGATGGCTCTAAGACTGAGGACCGAGTCTTGGGTGTTGGTGTTTTTAATATGATAATGTCCACACGTCTCTGTAGAACAGGAATTGATGTTTTATTAATGGTGCTTAATTAAAGTTTAATTTCAAAGCATTGCTGCTCTCGAGTTATTCTGATAAAGGCTTTGTGATATTTCCCCCCACCCCTGGTGACAGGAAGGAGAAAGGGAGAGGTTGAGGCATGGCTTAAAGATGGGACTTGGGATTTCCTGTTGTAGATGTAGGTAATCCTCCAAAAGCAGCCTGAAGCATGAAGAGCATCCTGGAAAACATACCCTGAGCTGCTCCTGGGCCAAACCCTCTCATCCAGGTTGAGTCTTGAATTTTCAAGCTGAGTTTCAACGGTGGTGGCTCCTCCTTAACAACAACTTGCTCCTGAACCTCCCTTCCTGCCCTGGTTCTGCTTTTCAGATCAGGCACTGACCAGATCACCACTCCTTGAGAGTCTAGGTCATATTTTCACCAACCAACTGGGAGTGCGTGTCGAGAGTTCTAGAGAGGATTCCTAGGGCAGATTAATGGTCTCTCGGTTGCTTGTGCTTTGGGATCTTTTGTCAGACATATTTTTTTTTTTTCTGTGACTTAATCCAAAACGTGGCAGCCACATTCATTGGAAACCTACAATCTGCTGGACATTATTCCAGTTTCTTTATGTACCACTCCTTTCAATGAGCATAAAAAGCCATCAGGTGGCCACTACTTCTATCTCCATCTGACAGGTGAGGAAACCAAGGCACTGAGAGGGTAAGCAGCTCATCCCAGGGGTGGTCCTCCAGAGCTCACCTTCTGTTGCAGCTCATCCTTGTACGTGCTGGAGGAGGGGCTGTGCGTTTCTCAAACAACAGAGCCATCCAGGAAAGGGCCGGCAGCTTCACCTGGAGCCCAACCCAAGGCTGCAGATCCTGAGCTGCAGACAGAAGCCCAGAGGAGACGCCCACCCCTCCACTGGGGGTTGCATGAGAAGGGGTTCACAGGAAGCATACACTCAGGTCATCGGACAAGGTTGGTCCAGGGGAGACTGTGTCCACAGTGGACTGAGGTTCAATGCAAGGCAGGAAGGTGGGAGCAAGGCGACAGAAGCTGGGTCTCCGCTGCAGCTACTACCCAGAAAAGCAGTCTGCTGGGGTTGCAAAGAGTCGTTGCGATGATGAGTTTAAAAGGGGGGTCACAAAGGGTTTGCAAGTAGGTGGACTGTGTAAAACGTCCAGTCGTAAGACGGGACTTGGGGAAAGGAGAATTGGGGAACAAGATGTGCAGAGTCTGGCAGTTTCCTCTGTGTCTTTAGGGGACACTGCAGCTGAGGATGTGAGTCTGGACCCCAGCAGGGGCCACCACTCTGGGTCCTTGGCCTTGCTTATGTGAAACAAGAGTGCCAAGTGGGACTGCATGCAAGAGGCTCTGCCTAGAGGTCCTGAGGCCCACCTGGGTCAAGTGGAGGTAGCTGCCTCATGTGGCTGACAATGACAGGGCTCTGATCCCACTCCTTCTGACCCCTTTGTACCATCTTTGTGCCCATGGCCTTCTGTCTGCATGTGAAGACTGCCAACACTTCCTGAGATTTCCTTCCCAGTCGTCCCTCTGCATCCCAGCCCCAACCATGCTGGCTGCTCCCTTCCCTGATCAGGGGCAAGAGTGATGCATGACCTGCCCTGCAGACGAGGTCACAGTCCCCTTTGTTGGATGTGGCTTAAAGCTCTACCAAGTGTGATTCCAAGGAACTAACTAAAGATGCCCCACAAAGCCAGAGACAGCTTGGCTGGAAGGAAAACTGAAACACAGCTGTTGAAAAGTGCTTTTTAGAGAAGTCCTAGAAGCAGCAAGTTCTGTACTCCCCTAAGTAAGGTAACTGTTGCAGTGGAGTTACATGCAAAATGCAGGGGGGGGGGGGGGTCAGGGAAGGAACACCCAAGTCAGCTTGGGGCAGTCAGGGAAAGCTTCCTGGAGGAAGGAGCATGTTGAAGATGAACAGAGCCTGTCCCACAGACATGGAGGGATGGAACAGGACAGGACGGAACGACAGAGGGTGGGAAAAGTGCTGTGTTCTAGGAGTTACACGTGGCTCTGTGTTCCTGGAGTCTTGAGGTAAGAGGCATGTGGGGAGAGAAATCACACAGATTCATTAGAACCTTGTGTGTGTGTGTGTGTGTGGGGGGGGGTGGGTGGGAGTGATGGGGGGCGAAATGGAGGCTCCCAGGCTGACTTTGGGTCTTTATTTTTACTTACTGGATGTAGTTCACTGAGATGAGGAACACAGAGTGAGAAATCAATACAGAAGGGGAGATTGGTTCATTTTCGGATACTTTGAATTGTGTCCTATGCCTGTAGGACGTCCGGGTGAGTACTTGGGTCTGGGTGCATCCAATGTGTGTGCTAAGTAACTTATATGCATTATTATTATTATTTTTTGTAACTCTTGGAGATTCTAGAGTTGTCTGACTCCCAGATTCAACGCACTTAATACAACTCAACAATGCCTCTCTGGAGGCACCGGTGTGGTTAAACACTGGACCTAGAAGGTGCCATAAAGTGAGAAGAGGGATGGGGGTGCTGAAGGGTCAAAGCTGAGTGCACAGCTGTGTCTATGGAAACAGCACCCCCTGGAGTTGTGCAATGCACAGCCTATGTGGGTCTTCATGGAAGACCTTGGAGAAGAGGCAGACATAGAGGAGGAAATTAAAGGGAAAACGAACAGGAAAACAAGCACCTCATCACTGATAGGCGAGGCCCCGTGACAGGTTCTGTACATCCCGCTCCCAAGGAGGCAGCTGCCCTCACTCACCGTCCTCCTCTGTTTGCACCACCAGCTCCTCACTCTCCACCCGGCCCTCGGGGTTGGACAGCAGGAGCCGCAGCCGGATGGTCATGAAGGGGCGCAGGCCTCGCAGGGTATAGTGGGACGAGGTCTGGATGACCTCTTCGGCCTCGTACTGCTGCTGGTTGAACACGTACTGGTACTGCACCGTGAGGTTGTAGCTGTGACAGCGGGTCACCGCATAGCCAAAGGGTTCCCACTGCAGGGTCAGCTGCCGGGCGCGGATGTCCACAATCTCCACGTTCTGCGGGCCGTGCACAGGGTCTGCAAGACACGCATGCAAGACACAAGGGCTTTGAGAGTGTCAGGAAGCGGGCAGTGGGTGTCGTGCTCAAACGGGGGAATAGCCCTCCAAACTTATCTCAGCCACTGCCTGCATGATTTTTTCCACAGAGCATGCAGTTTAATTAACATTTTTCTGTCAATCAAACTCTTTTTTTCTTACTTAAATGCATGCATCTAAAAGATAACACTTGCCATACAGAATTGTTAACCGTCAAATATAAAAAACACCACAAAATTATTACATTCTTGAAGGTTCATCAGGGTACTCCCGAAAACCACCCTGGGTACCATCAATGGCACACACAATGCTCCAGGGATGCACTAATTTAGACGGTTGCTGGAGTTCTGATCTGCCTTCTATTTAATCCAGCCACATCCTCTCCCCTTGGGAAATCAGTCCCCTCTCTCCGGTTAACTGCACTGAGATGTACAGGCTGGAGATCCAGCCACATGCTCGGCATGCAGCACTCAGTCTGTCCAGATGGTCACAGGTACCGCTGACTTCTTGCCATTTCCCCTCTTTCCACTGACAACACAACTCATTATTTCCTAGGTTCCTATGACAGCCCTCGACCTCCTTTCTCTCCTCTCTACTTCTTTCCAAACAGGCCCCTCCAGAGACATCGTTCTGCAAGCAAATACGGTCATGACTTCACACACTAATGCTGTGTCCCACGCCATCCTTCCCCATATGGTCCCAGACCCCCATATATAACATTCGCTGTCATATTTTATTACAAATATTCTGTTTACACTTCATGCAGGCATTTTTGTAAAAAACGGTTTATAACAAATGAAACACTTAAAAAAATCCCCACATGTGCAGCTCATTCTATAAAGCTTAGGCATTTCTTACAACAGAAACATAACTTCTTTTGTGATGAGCATCCCCATAAGTTCTTGTGTTGAATATCTTAGCTGGAAGTAGTTAAGCACAGACTAGAGATTTATTCAGTATCTTCCCTCCACACTACTTTAGGACTTGACCAAATTCTGTAATTTCTTTGGGTCCATTTTTTATTTCATTTATAAAATGGTGATAGTAACAAGTAGCCACTCTTGCTGGTGGCTAGCGGGGGGCTAAATGAAATGTTGCTTGCAGAGCAGTTAGAATTGTACCTGGAACTTAATAACCACTCAAAATATGGTGGTTTTTCTTTTGCAGCGATAGGAACAGTGGGAAAAGAAAAAATAATAAGGATGCGTATGCTGTCTCTACTCTGAAAGTCTTCTAAGTGGTAGTGCTGGGCAGCATCCTTCTCCAAAAATGATGGATTCTATCATCCCTCCGGTCCTCTCAGAGCATTTAGGGGTAAGGTTGCCCCTGTGCCAATGTAGCAGTAAGAAAGAAGGCAGGACTCAATGAAAGCTGATTTCCTGGATCTGTCCCTGTGGGGAAAATGTCCTGTGACTTGTATCAGAGCCTTGCCAAGGAACATACTTCAAAGCAGTCTTCTTTTAAAAAGGATGCCCAGAAATGTCAGGGAGCCGGGAAAACCGGTCCGGACCTGCTCACGCACTGCTGGGGACAGTGAGCAGCCTGGCTCTGGAAAGACTGAGGAGTTCACGGTCACTCATGCAGCCCAATTATTCATGTTCACAGGTCCTTTGTGTAAAAGAGAGCCAGCGTTCCAAAAGCAAACGGGTGACTTTGAAAATGTGACATTGAACAAGCTGTTGCTAAGGGTCCATTGTGCTGAGCCCACACAGAATAGAAGGTGAAAGTGTGGTCCCCATAGTGCGGGGGGGGGGGCAGTTATGATCTGGTTTGGTCGCCTGGTTTAACAAGTCCTGATGGCGTGAGAACCAATGTACAGGCACAGGGTGAGCAAAAAGCTACTTGCCGGGGAGGTCTGTGCATTCCCACCAGCCTGGCCCAGCCGGAGCCTTTCTGCAAGTCCAGATCCTGGAACTGTCCTGGCAGGGAGGCCCCCCAACCCTGCTTAGGACCCCATGACACTCCTCCTCTGGGTGTGCCTTCAAAACGGATGCCACACCCCAGTAAGGTAATCGCTCTCACAGCTCTCTTACCTCATCTTAGAAGGAGTACAGGCATATTTAAGACCCTTTTAAATCCAAGACTCGTCCATTTTGTTAAACAACTTTAAATGTACCACAGCCCACGTTAAATATTTTTTGGAATCTCCAGTGTGCCCCTGCAGCACAAATGAGACAATAAAAACAAAACACCTACTTGATGGCCAGCAGCCATGGTGCTGGGTTCTATCACCTGCATCATCTTGTGACTCTGGAAGGGAGGGGCTGACTGCTAGCCCCACTTTACAGTGGAATAAACTGAGGCCAGAGAGGTCTAGGAATGTGTGCAGAGCAGCAACAAGACCAGCAAGTGGCAACGTGGGGTTGTGAACTTGTGTCTATCTGACCACATGCCTAGTGTGCAAAGTCAGAAGACGTGCATGACCAGGGGGGGTCTGGAAAGAGAGCACAGGTGCTTTGTGTGCCCCCAAGGGGAATGGACCCCGCCTTTCCCACCTCTCTGGCTCTGAGGATCGTCTTCCCCTCCCTGCTGGATTCGGGCAACAGTCTCTCCAGCTTTCGCTCCCTGTTCACTTTGCCTCCTCTGTGAAGACGTCCTTGCTGAGTCCCTGGGCAGAGTACAGTGCCTGTGTCTTTCTCATCCTATTAACTGTTCCCTTCCATACTCATCATTTTCCACTGTGGCAGCTTTTTAAAAGTTGGCCCTGCCCACTAGAAAGTAAGCCCTGTGAGAGCAGCACAGTCTGCTGGCCCCTGCAGCCCAAGCCCTGCCCAGAGACGCACTCGGGAGGGCCCCAGGGAGTCTCAGGCCAATGGACGCTGCATTCTGTAGACCCCATGGCCATCAGTGAGGAAAGCATCTCTAGTCTCGTCTGTGAGGAAAACAAGCTCCGTGAGTGGAAATGACTGAAAAGCCGCATAGCGAGTGCACAGCTGAGGTTTGAAGCCCCTGAGGGTCCAGTGCCTCCACGTGTGCTGCACCGGGATACCACGGGGCACTGAGACCAGGGAAAGGCATCAACGTGGGCACCCCACAGTCAGCAGGGACCCGGGGAGGATGCTGGGAGGAGGCCAAGAACTGTAAGGCAGAAATGCTGGGCCCTCAGGAGCCGGGACCCGCTGGAGAGGGTGGGGCGGGACTCCATCACACTCAGAGCTGAGTTGCCCACTGGCCTGTCTTTGCACCTCTGCTCTCCAGCTTCTCCAGAATCCTCCCCACAGCTCACCTGTGCAGGTAGGCGCTCAAAGCACTTTTCTGCTCCTCTTAAAGGAAGGAGCCGGCAGAGGCGCCTTTTCAAAGAGGGCAAGGGATGGTGCGAGCCTGACACACAGCAGAGACTCCCTCCAGAGCGGGAAGGTCAGGGCGCTGGGAAAGTCACTTGCCTCCTCTGAAGCACATGCCACTGTCACCAGACAGGCCGCGGGGAACAGTGGAGCGGGCAGAGCACGGCGTGAAGCCAGACTCTGGTGCTCACTAGCTGTGTGACCTTGGGCAAGGGCACTTCATCTCTGAGCCTCTGTTTCCTCTTCTATAAAGTGGAAATTATTGCGCGAATCTCAGAGGGCCATTAATGAGTATAAAATGAGCTGTAAAGGGAGAGAGAAAATTGCCTCTAACAGTGGGCATTCCTCTTAGAGAAAATGGCCTTTCTTGCAGAAATGCCTTAAGAAGTGTATTTGAAGCAGAAGCTGGATTCCCAGGGCCGTGGGATCAGCTGGGCTCAGCCTTCAGAGGAAGAGAAAAATGACTCCACTTGTTGCTGGCATTGAACAGGAAAGGATGTGGGCGAACAAGACGGCAGAATGACATCTGGAGCCCAGTGTGACAGTTCCCCGTGTGACTCCTAGCTCAACAAGGTCCTCAAAATCCACAGAAAGGGCTGAGATCTCCATGCCTCCCTTGGTCCAATGAAACACCACTTGGGAACAAACACAGGGAGCAGAGACAGAGGGGGCTTGGGAAATATGGCCACGTGTGTTACTGGTACCCTGAGGTCCCCAGAGCACGGAAATTACAAATCTCAAGGAAAGCTCAGCTCCTGTGCGCAAGGCAAGAAGACCTCTGGCAGACGTGTGGGTGAAAGAGTTTTGTTAAGTTCAAGAACTACCATTCTAGAAAGGGAAAGACAGTGGCTCCTGATCATATAGTAACTCTGGGCTAGGTACCTGCAACTCTCTGGTATAGAAAATCCAGGTCAACGAAGGGGTGTGCCTTACCCAGGGCCACACAGCCAAGTCCCCAGCTCTGGGCTCGTACAGCACTTCGCACAGGTGTCCAGCCCACTCAGCATTTGCCATGTTTTCTAGGAACTGCTTGTTCATTTATCTGTCACTCCTCCCAGGCTGCCAGGGACCACATTCTGTTTGTCCAGTAACCCCAACACATGGTAGAGGGGCTGTCGAGGGGCCAGTTCATGTTTATTAAACTGAGATGAACAGATGGTGACCTGTTCTTGGGAACTGAACTCGGACCCAGTTCTTGGGAACTGACTCCACGGTCCCAGTTTCGTCCCCTCTGCGACGTCCCTGAGTCTTTAAGGTGGACATGTTTATTTTTGCATTCAAGCAAAAGAATGTCCTGAAATCCGACACAAGGAAAACTAGTTTTCAAAATGTTTGATAGAAGTATTCATGCCTTCAATCCGACCCCTCCCCCGCCAAACCTCAGCCTCCAAACCCAGCTTCTGCTCTGATAATTGTGTGTAGCAGGGAGAGTCTTGGGTTTACACTCAATTCGGTGCAAACAAGTTGGAAATTGCTGAGAAAGCCTTGTGTGTGCAGTGGAGATTGCTTTGCTGAATTTACATTCCCCGTGTAAATATGTCCAAGCGTAGAGGCCTAGGGTTTCTGCCACCGAAAACCACACCCATATGACCTTCTTAAGTAACAGCTTCCAGGCCTATGGGAAGACAAATAGTGGGGAGAGAATGTGGTTTGTCTGGGAAGCTGGGACATCTTCCTCTGATGAAAAATCAAAGTGG